ATCTATGATATATGAGGATGCTTAGTCTGGAAAAGACTTGGTGGGGGAGGGGACATGATAGCTTTCTTCAGGTATGTGAGATACTGTCAGGTAGAGGAGAGATCAGACATTCTCTTTGGACCCAGAGGGCAGAACCGGAGTAATGGGTAGACGTTACCAAAAGGGCAATTTAGCTTGCTGGCAGGAAGAACCTCCTAACAATTAGCGTTGCTTAAGAGTAGAATGGGGTAGAAAAATTTAAATCTCAAAAGCTTATGGAAGTGATTGTTGATCATTCAAAATAAATTAATTAAAATAAAATAAAAAAAGAGTAGAATGGGGTGCCTCCTTGGAGGTCTTCAAGCCCTGGCTGGAGGATCACTTCTGGTGAGGATTCTTTTGGTGAATAGGTCAGACTAGATGGCTGCTGAGGTGTCTTCCAAATCTCAATTCTGTGTGACCCATTGATTGGATAAAAGTATTTTAAAAATGCTACATGAAAGTAGAGATTAGTATTATCAAGATGACTTCCCTGGGTCTCAGTTTCCCAGTCTGTGAAATGGGGAAGTTGGACAAGATAATCTCTAAGGTCCCTTTTTGCTCTGACATTCTAGAATCTGAAAAATAAAATTCTATAGGATTCTAATTGCTTTCTTCCCTAGATCCCCCAGTGGTGGTCCCATCCTTGGCTAGTGATAGGGTTCCTGATCTTCTCTGCCTTCCACCATCATGGACACCCTGCTGCATTCCTCTGGAGGCACTGGGCAGGATGGCTCTGTCCCTGGAGTTGGGGGACAGAGGAAGAGATTGGAGCCAGGCTGGTGGCTGCTATCCACTGCTCCTGGTTTGTGCCTCACAGGTGGATATCAGCGAGGAAGAGTAAGCAGGGTTTCTCTTTATTTTCCTTTCACCTTGGAGGTAGTAGCAGGGGCTGGGAAGGCCACCCTGAGTTGTGTGAGTCACCTGGGCCAAAGAAGGGACAGATTTTCTGGGAGCATTTCCAGCAACTCATTATCATTCAGGAGAGCTTTGAAGTAGGAGTGATGATCTCCTCAGGATGTGAAGGATGGAGGCATAGACCCCAAAGTGCTGTTAATGCTTTATTGTACCAGAAGAGGGAATCATAGAGGGGGAGAAACAGGACAACATCATCAGGGTCTGAATGGTCAAGAAAGTGATGCAGCAGTCTAGCTGCTCCCAGAACAGTCAGGATCAGCTTCAGTTATTATCATTCCTGTTCTCTGTAATGGAAGTCACAGTCAGTCACCCCACTGGCCTTTGAGCTAAAGCCAAAGCTAGACCCCTGTTCCAGCTCCCTCAGACATCTGCTATCACCTCATCTTCATCAACATGAGACTTCCCACCACCTTCACCATCATAGTCCCTGCCATCATCTTTATCCGTCTGGCTACCATTATCATCATCATTAGAAACTCACAATGGCTGTCATCATCACCATCACCCCTTGCCCCTCACCCCATCACCCTGATATCACCTTTTCTGTTCTTATTCCAGTACTAGGTAGACATTGAGGAAGTAGGTGACAGTCACTTACTGTTGGGTCTACAGGTCTTCAAGCAGCATTGCAGCGAGTCAAAATTGTTCCCATTGCCATGACAGCCACTGTAGATGAAAGCCTCGCAGGTGCGAGAGGTTGTGTTGTAGAAGTAGCGAAGAGTCTGAGAGTTGCAGTTGCCCCTCGCAGGTGAGAGCAGGCATAAAGATGGAACCAATTGGTACGGGTTCTCCAGGGAGTTCACATGGTCTGTGGATGAGGGGAAGGAAGAAGGTGATAGGATGAGGATAGAAACAGCCAGCCAGTGTCCATTGGCACTTCAAAAGCTCTTTTTCACCGGAGGTCACTAAGTGGAGGCTGAATGACCACTTGTTGGGGATCTCGTAGACAGGATTCATAATTTGGCTCAGTGTTGGACTGGATAATTTTAGGGATCCTTTTAAATTCTGTCTGTAGATATGTGAATATGTATATCAGTAGTTGGTTAAAGTGCATTTAAATAATTGGTTAATACCAATAGGATGGGAATAGGATTGGGCTTGGATTTCATCAATTTTTGGGAACTCATAGGAAGGAAATTCCTTCTACCAATATAGATCAGCACTTTTTCTGAAGGGGCAGCTAGATGGCGCAGTGGATAGAGCACTGGCCCTGGAGTTAAGAGGATCTAAGTTCAAATCTGGCCTCAGACACATAACACTCACTAGCTGTCTGACTCTAGGCAAGTCATTTAATAACCCCAATTGCCTCATCAAAATAAATAAATGAATGAATGAATGAATGAATGAATGAATGAATGAATAAATAAATACCAACTTTATAGGTAAGAGCAGCATCTTAATAGCCCGCGCTGCTGCCACGATTCCCTCTCTTGGGGAGAGGGGTGCTACTTACCTGAAAGTTTTTCTGAGCTGGTCAGGCCAGCCAGGCTGAGGGCGAAGCAGAGGGCAACGATGGTGAATTTCATGGTGCCACTGGTAGATAACACTTGATCAGTGGGCTTGAGCCCTTGGGGTTGGTTTTATATCCTCAACCAAAGTGGGGGAGAAAAGGAGGGGAACAAGGTACGTAGAGGATCAGTCATACTCATCATATGACTTGGAGGAGGAAATGTTCCCCACCTCCCATCCCCAGGCAAAAAGTTTTTGGCAAGAGGAGCCCAGCCCCTTCCCTTGGGGTATCTGGCAAGCCTCTTACCCAGGTAGCCTGGAGGGGCTGGGCATAGATTGGGCAAACCCTACTAGACTGAGAGCCAGATTATCCTCTGGGCTGCCCAGGCTTCAGCTTTACCTGCAAGCTGGCGTCATCTCTGGAGCTCCTCAAGTCTGGTGGATGGAAGGCACTCCTGAAGGGCATGTGGGTAACCTTGGCTTGGGGGGGTGAGAGTGTCCAGTGAGGTAGGGGCATGCAGAGGCACAGGCAGATGCATGGACTGGTTATGGTCACTGGGCTCTGAGTCAGGAGAATTGAGTTCTAGCCCTGATGGCCACTCGTCAAACCACCGTCTTTCTCTGGGCCTTAGTCTTTCTGTTTGTTAAAGGGAATAATAAGATCTTCCCTATTTGCCTGCACAAACTGTTAAGGTTCAAGTGAAATAGGAAATACTTAATGTTTTAAAAAGCGATTTACAAATGTTAAGGTTCAGATCTCATGTTTGACACATACTGTGATCCTGGGATAGTCCTTTTAATTCTGTGCTCCAGACAACTCTCAGAGACCTTAACTTGCAAGGAGGTGCCAACCTGCGTTGGTCAAGGGTGTTCCCAATACCAATAAAATCACAGGTCCTTTCCATCTCCTACAAGTATCAGATTATTGTTAAGGTAACCTCTCCAGGCTCCTTAGTTTCCCCATCTGTAAAGTGAGGTGCTTGGACTAGTCAGTTTGTAAGACTCCTTTCAGCTCTAACATTCTATTTCATGGGTCCCTTCCAGATGTAGAGATCTATTTTTAATTTGGTTTAAAGAAACATAAAGCATCATGTGTACATCCTAATTCAGCACTGCCTTCAGGATTGGGTGGAAATTGTTTAGGTCACTGTTGTCACACTCAGATAGAAACAGGGGCCACTAAACTGTACCTAAGGATCTCTGAGGGCCACATATTGACTTAGAGAGCCACTTATTAACATTATCTATGTTTTATTGTATTTTTATCTGTTTTGTTCAGTATTTCTTAATTACATTTTAAGTGGTTCCAGCTGCACTAGGGAGTATTATGGGCTGCATGTGGGCTGATGGCTGTGTGTTTGATGCCTCTGGTCTAGAAGTCAAGCTTCACTGGGAAGCATAACTGAGGGATATCTTATGATCATCGATAACTGCTTGGAGACCAGGGGCAGAAAGACTGAAGTCTTCAGGTTTCATGCTGATTCAGGAGAATATAGGTGCTTCTGAAGGGCAGGAAGCAGCATGAGATGATGGAAAGGACACTTCATTTGGTGTCAGAGGACCTGGGCTCATATCTTCTACCTGTTATTTCCTGCCCATGTGACCCTTGGCAAGTCACTTTTTTTTTAAACTTGATTCACTTGGTTTCTCTGGGTTTGTTTCCTCATTTGTAAAATAGGGGACTAGGGGATCATAGGTTTAAAGCTAGAAGGGACCTAAGAGGCCACCATTTTAGAGTGGAGGAAACTGAACAGTGGTGTGCTGGTAAATGTTTAACCACCAGCTCTCCATGAAACCAGAGTTCCTCATCTTTCCAATAAATAACTGGACAAACCATTTCATTTCTCTGAGCCTCAGTTTCCTTATCTGTAAAACAGAGATAACAATCCCTGCCCTTTTCCCTCTTAGGATTGCTGTGAAGAACAAATGAGGCAATGGATGGGAAGGCACTTTTGAAAAGCTTCCAGCCTCTAGACACACAAGGAGTGATGCCCAAGGGGGTTTGGTACATGTGTCCTCTGACCTGGAGGCTTTTCCTGGAATGTGACCCAATGACAGACAGGTGGAGAAGGGTATGGTGGAAGAAGGGATGGGAGGAAGGGACACATAGGTCTAGGTTGGGTGAAGACAGCAAAGAGGTGGCAGGGCAACCTTAGAAGCCATCAAGTCTTCCTTTAGTGGAGGAGGAGGCTAACTTGGGTCTTTTGACTCTAATTCCAATGTTCTTTCCAAGACACCTTGATGCCTAGCTGCCCAGCAGTTCCCAGAACCTGCCCCAGGCCCTGGGAAGCTCTGGATGGGGAGAAGCTATTTCATCATAAGGCCCAGGGGGTCCTAGGAGACTGCCCAAAGGTCTCACTTGATGGAAAGCCAGATTCCTCCACCTCCAGTCCCCATCCTTCTCTGGTCCCAACCCCACTAGCTGCTGGCTGGGATTGCTTCCGAGGTTTCTCCTGGTATATGCTGGCACATATCCTGGGGGAACAAAGTGGGACAATGGCAAATCCTGATTGTAGGGAATAGAAATGTGGGTCCCTGGCCTGCAGGGTTCCATCCTCATGTTGGCCTCCCCATCCCCATCCCTCTTCTTGTCTAAGGTTGAGCAGGATGTCCCTGCTCTAAGACCCAAGGTGCCCCTGGAGGGGAAAAATTTGATATTGGAGTTGAGTGGCACATGCTCACTCATTGTCTAGCTCCCCAGGAACCTGAAGCCTTCTTGGCCTCCATACTACAGGAGATGAATCTGGCACTCTGCCAGACCCTTGGTTTGAGGCACTGATGCCTCAAATACCTTTGGTGGTATTTATGGAATTAGAACCCACTCAAGTTCCTGGATATTGGGACACACTGTCCAAAACTCATTGTAATTAAGGACATTTATACAGTGCTTTATGGCTAACAGAATTACTTTATACCAGTTATTTTATTTCATCTTCACAAAAATCCTGTGATTTTGTCAGTGCAAGTATTACCACCACCACACCTTTCTTCTTTATGTTATCTCCTTTTTGTAAAAGAGGAAATTGAGTTTCCAAGAGACTGAATGACCTGCCGTCAGTCACATAGCTAGTCAGTGACAGAGCCTGGACTTGACCCCAGGTTCTCTCATTCCCAAGGAAGTGTTTTTTTCTATTATATCACCCTTGGTGATATCCTGAGTGCATATTGAGTTTCCCCTGTGTGCCAGGGTCTGTGCTCAGTGATGTGGGGAGTAGGAAGAGGGAAGAGATGCCCTTCCTGCCTGCAGGGAGCTCTCCTTCTAGTCCAGGAGGGAGAGAATAGAATTATAGGTAATCAGAGCCCAGACGGATCTTAATAAGGGTGGGGAACCTGTGACCTCAAGGCCCAGTCCTAGTCCAACCACTTTCTCTTAAAATTTTATTTAATTTTGATTTAAAGAATAAGCTTTATTGAGTTTTTGTTTGTTTTTACATTATAGTCATTGCTGGATACCCCAACCCTCCACCCTGAAATTGTTTCAATTGAATCCTTCCTTGTATTATAAAAATAAATAAATAAGTTGTCACAGGGACTGTATCTGACAATGCTCTGCCCACTAATCCCCAGCTTCTCTGTGAGAGGCCAGGGGCATGTTTTGTTAGCAGGTTTTGAAGACCTTTATTAATTTTTTAAAATTATGCAGTTTGACTTCCTTTTTAGTAAACTTTTAATCTATATTATTTTAATCACTGTGTATATTCTTCTCCTGGTTCTGATTATTTCATCCTGTTTCATTGTAGGCTTCGATACTCTTTGAATTTGTCCTGATTGTCCTTTGGCACCATACAATAATACTCCAATACGTTTATCTTGAGGCCTTGTTGCATGGCAGCTAGCAGCATCCACCTTGGAGCCAGGAAGAATGAGGTTCAGTCCAGCCTTCTTGACACACAAGTGCACAAGTCACTTAACCTTAGCTACCCCCGGCAATTTTCTAAGACTATTAAGTTTAAGAGAAGGTGCTGACCTGCATTAGAAAAGGGAGTTCCTCATAGGCTATTTCCTAGCCAACATAGATATATCATAATTTGTTCAGCTGCTGCCCAATGGATGGGCACCTACTAACTTCCTCTTTTATTTTGCAGAGGAGAAAAATGAGGTTTGGAGAGGAGAGAGAGAGGATTTACTTTGAAGGTCACACATCAGTATGGACTAGAACTCAGGGCTCTTGACCCATCCTAGTGTTCTGGCCGAAGTCCATTGGTGGCACAGAGTTGGACTTAAGAATCAGGTTGCCAGGGTCCTGATTCTGATTCTGCCTCTGACTTGATCTGTGACTTTGAGAATGTCATCTCTCTAAACCAGGCCTGCACAACATACAGGCCTCCGAGGCACTTGCAGCCAGTAGAGGATGTAAAACAGTCCTGCACAACATACTTGCCTGCAGGGGGTTGCAAATGGTCTGCAGGCCACATGTTGTACAGGCCTGCTCTATGCTTTACTTTTGTCATCTGCAAAGTAGCTAACATTTATATAAATATTTAAGGTTTGTATATAGACACATACACACACATATACAAATCTTAAACCACTATATCTATATCACTATATATCTTTAGCTATAGATACATGGATATATCATAATCTCATATGTAATTATCATAAGCATAATTATTATAAAATTATTATATATTATATATAATTCATTATTATACATTATAATATGCAATGTATGATATTTCACGGCAGCTAGGTGGTGCAGTGGATAGAGTACCAGGCTTGGAGTCAAGAAGACTCATTTTCCTCATTTTCAAATCGGGCCTCAGAAACTTACTAGCTGTGTGACCCTGGGCAAGTCACTTAGCCTTGTTTGCATCAGTTTCCTCAGTTGTAAAATGAGTTGGAGAAGGAAATGGCAAACCACTCCAGTATCTTTGCCAAGAAAACCTCAAATAGGGTCACAAAAAGTCAGACATGACTGAAAAATTACTAAATAGCAACAAAATTATATATTATTACATATAATTTATAATCACATAGGATTCTACTTCATTTTAATGTTCTTTTAATCTACATTATTGTAGTCATTTTATATGTCATTTTCTTAGTTCTGTTTACTTTGCTGTCTATCATTCATATACCACAGTTTGTTTAGCCACTTTCTAGTTAATTGGC